CAAGTTGAGCATAAAAAAATTACGGATTCGTTTGTTGTCGTATTGATAATGCTGAAGAAAATGAAACCATATATAAATACTTCGGCAATTGCAGTGAAGTAATTTTAAACATCGGTTTTTTACTTCTATCATAAGTATATGTAACGTCATGTCGCATTCATAGCATACAGATTTGGATCATTTTACAAATCACATTAACATTCTTTTTGAGAACACTTGAGTTTATCATCTTTCAGAATTCATTGAATGGATGTGATTTTTAGATTTTTCGAAACTTCAGTACAATTCGGGCAACAGAAATGAAAATAATTGCGACATTTCTCATAGTCTTAGTGGTAATGATAGTGATGGTATCATTAGGTGAAGGACATTGTGAATGATTCGGTACAGCAGCATTCTGTGAAGGCAAAGTTTGCTGTTGCACGTTATCATGAATGTTCACATACAAGACTTCAATTACTTTGCTCGGAATAATTCAAAAAGACATTTATCTTGCTTTCATATTGATATATATTCTTCAGTTGTACTAATTTTTTCGTAATATATTTCCCTTACTAATAAAAGTTGCCTATTCCAGTGTTTCCTAGATGCTCAATTAAAGTTAATCAATTTTTTTTTCTTTTTTATACAAATAAGTAATGAGCAATTCTAGTATGAAATTTAACTCCGGGTAGCGAAACATTTTTATTCTGTCTAGATTGACATCAGGCATGAACAAAAAACAATGTGAATACAAAACTCAAGATAAATATTGCACAACTTTTCTTTTCGTCTGCTCATGAGCGTTTTCTTATATTCATCTCAAAAGTGTGTTGTATAACATATCCTTTCAAAACAGAATAAACCTAGTGTAGTTTTCAAAATGTTTTTACTTTTCGCAGGAGTAGCATGTTTTCTGATGCATCAGAGTCTATTCCTCACATGGCTGACTGAATTCAATAACGTTGGTCGAATATTAATCGCATTACACACTGATCAATAGTTTCGTTAGAATGAAAGTAATCAAAGCTATAGAAGTATTTTAATCGAGTTCAACGACAGGTACATGAAATGATAAATTTGATCCAGATTTGTTATTCATTTGTACATTAACTTGATGAATATTTATTAAATTGTGTGGGTGTCGATGTGGGGGGTATGAGCTTCCATTTCCTGTTCATCTACACTCACACCTGGAAGACATCAACAAACAAAAATCGTTCTTCTTATTCGGGAAATTGACGAGGTAGGTCTGTGCGGGTGTCCAGATGACGATATTGAATGGGCTCAATCTCTCTATTATTCTCATAGACTATCACCTTTGCATTCACATCTCACACTCACTCATATCAAATATTCAAACTTTGTCTTAATTTCAAGGAGAATTGACGTAGATGAAGAACGATGCCGAAGAATGAGCATCGCAACTTCATTGAATATGTTCCTATCTGGGAAAGATTTGTTCATGTATGGTGTATTCGAATCCATACCGCATTGATTATGTCTTACACCAATAGCAAGAATTTGACTTTAAAAAAAACCTAAAAATTTTCTTCAGATTATGTTGCAAAGGAGAACTCAAGTCTTCTCGAAACTCGTTTTTCAATTAAAAATGCACCTCTTATTACTTATTCGAGGAAGTTTTCTACATTTTATTTTTCTTCGTTGATATAAGATCGATCTTCTAATACATCAAGAGCGTTACGAAATTAAATTACAAAATCATTGACTATCTCTTTCAAAAAACAAAAACACGTGTTCATGTTATTACTTTAAATTTTATTTAGTGTATTTGTACATATGCAACACAAGATCATAGATTGTATGTTATTAAAGATTTAATTACAAATGAGCATATGAAGCAAAGCATAGAATTCCAACAAAATATTTGTTACTTAAGTTTTTACCAATAATTCTTGAAAAACATTTATTTATAATATGCCATACAGACATTCGAAGTTAAATCGAAACTATAAATAATTGTACTCGAAAAAATTAAAGATCTATCTATCGTTAGTTATTTTACTTGTTAAATTCTTACAAAAAATTGAGTAAAGAACTTACTTTTGTTCTCTAACAATAAATGATATCAATATCACGTTATTCACTGATTCTCATTATGATAGATGTATTTAACATCAGCTGCAACAATAGATTTTTTACTTGCTGAGAAAAAAAACATTCAATCATAATCATACTCAATTTTGATACTCAGCCTAATCATACAAGAATATCTCCGATATCATGATTTCACCATCAATTTTGATACAAAATAAATAATCCTAAGAAAAAAATTCAATTAATCTATGAACACAAGGAATATTTTAAATTTTTTACTGTAAATCAAACAATTGTGTTTATTCCTTGAATATAAAAATAAGTTTTGATCAAATACATAATTTTTTTTTTCTCTCTTTCAAATAATAAGACAGACTAACGGGTTTCTATCCATCAATCTATCTCGTCAATAAAAACAACATTATAGATGCATGAGAAAAAAAAGCATCATAAGAAGGCGTCAATAGGTACGAATGTCATTGTAATATTGTCGAAAAAAAAGGTATATCCATGTATAAACTTTTCAAAGACTATTACTTGACGAATCATACTATCATGGAGATCTCTTCAGAGCACGCATTTTATGTGTGTCTGTATGTAAAGATCAGACTGTTGAATTTTAAAATAAAACAAGAAGAATCATTTATTCGAAGTAATTTACAAATCTTTAAATATCTATTTTGAACTTTGCTATGCATATTTATCAAATAATAGAACTAATGTCAGATTCGATAAGATTTATCTGTTATCAATATTAACTTTCGTAAAGAGTAGATATCCAATAATAGTTAAGAAAACTTTTTTAATGAAAAATTCGTGTTCATTACTAAATTTAGATAATATTCTGTAAAAATGATTTTTTGTTTGTAATAATTGCGTCGCATTTTTTTATATACTGAATATACATCTTGAATTTTGCATATCAATATACTAAAAGTAAATTCGCCTTTGTTTACAATAATTTGTTTAAAAGTGACACAGCTAGGCGTTGCTTGTAACTGAATATTAATCAACTTGAAACTAACTCACCAAGTAATCATCACTAGTATGGTTTCGTTTAATGTAACATGCAGACGTTTGGAATTTCTTATTCACTTTTTTATTAAAAAATCTTTTTTTTATTTTCGTTACAATTTTCGACAGCTCAAAAGTAAGTGAAAAACAAGTGACGATGGATGATAAAACTAGTCCAAAACGTTCATTATGCATGCCAGATCTCGTCTGAAATGTCTACCATAACCTTAATGACAAGTTATCTTAACGAAAATACCCTGCAATCACCTTTGGACTAGATCGTAGAGCAGAAAAAGAATAAAAACAGAAAATAACAGATGAATTTGATCATCCGACCCGACATTATTTAATACCTAATGGATGTTCTGACGCCAGTTTATAAGTTACCAATAGACTGACTTTAGTTTAGACAGACCAAATAGGAGACAGACGACGAACGTCTATTTGTTACAGAATTTAAAAAGTGATTGAAGACAAGTGACTTGACTACTGTGGCATGATACTCATCTAGTTTTCCGAATAGGTCGTCATTACTATTTTAGAATATTATAGTATTTCTTACCAACTCATTTGTCACATAGTAAATTGTCAAACCAACTGGTTTAAATTAACCAACCATCCATAATAAAATTTTTTTCTCATAACCGTTGCTGATTTAGACTATGTGGCTAGTGCAAGTGGCTCAGATACATCAACATGACCAGTAAACATCGAAAGCAACTCAATTTAGTCAGTTTTAACAGACATCAAAAACAATTCACCCATTTTGATACAGTACACCATGATACAGAACATTAAAAAAAATCGCCTACATGTCGTACATTACAAGTAGGTTTCTAATTTGAGTTCGAATATGCATGTTATCCATATTGAAAGTTAGTTACATGGGTGAAAAACGCTTGCCAGCAGGTGAATATTCATAGTCACACTTGATTTTTTTGAATAAATAAAAAAATTGAAACATTGTATCACTATGCTTACATCATGATTGAAATGAAAATTAAAATTCAGATGAAGTTTACATTTTGCTTTTCTGTCACAGGACAGCCCTGCTTGCATGATAATTTATAATTTGAATAATTTTTTTCATTTCTTTCTGTAGTCGTTATAGGACATCCTTATTCAAGTTAGAATGCACAATTGAATTTTTTTTACAGGCAAGTGCTAGCTTGACCTTTTCTTCTTTATTTTTGACGTAGTATTATGCAGCTCGATAGTTATTGCATGACTACTGTACTTTTATAAAGAGAAAAAATACTTAGTAAGTTTGCGTGTTAATGTGAAAAAAGTTTATCGCAATACCAAAAAGTAGGAAAAAAACAAAGTATACTGTTTATCTCCTGATGAAAGCTCCGAATTTAAAATTGATTAGAGGTGTCAAATAAATTAAAAATAATTTAAGTATTTTTTTTCTTTTGAAAATGTGTTCTAATTTTTTCAAGTTAAGAATTAATGTAGATTAGACAAATGTAGTTTTGTTTTTATTTTTTGCAATTATTCAATTTAAATGATGTTTGATATATTGTTGGACTTGATATTTTCTTGCGTATATCAGTTTTAATTGTAGGAGTGAAAAGAAAATCAGCACCCACATCCACTATGTTTTTATGTCCTTTTCATTCTCCGAAGTGCTATTTTTTTGCGATTTGAATATAAAATTCATGAAAGCCATGAATTTCTCTTTTATGTTTTAATTTCATGAATAATTTTATAGATAACAATCGTATATACAAATAAATAATACCTATTGGCTTTCAAAACTATTTTCAAGATGAACAATATCGTCTTTTTTAATTAAAAGAAAATCATTTAATGCCATGTTACTTATCAAAGAATATATTCATGAGATTTTCTAATCAGTCATTAACTGTTGTTTTTCATTATATGATATACTGAGAGACATTGACTTTTTGTAGATTTTGATTCATCGAGTTTAGTACTGACGAACAATGTCCTTGATTGTGTTCACATTATTTTGTTCTTTCGTTTTAAATGATGCAAAACACTTCAATGGAGGAACAATCAACTGGGCACCCGTTGATCCGTATGATAATTCTACTTCAGTTGCTATTACTATTACACAGTCTTATTCGTGGACATATCCAGATATACAATGTGCCAACGATGTACCAATCTCAACAAGTGGACGGGGTGGTATGAACACTAATTTGATTTGCGTTGTTGACTGTTCGACTGATGGTGGTTATTCTAGTGCACCAATTGATATTCTAACTGATTGTACATCCGCTAGTTTATCATTGAAAATGATGACAAGTCAACGATCGAAAAATGTTACACTGTCTGTTGATGCACATTTTTATTTAGCTTATGTAGGAAATGCTTGGGTAGCATTAAATGATCCTCCTCAACAAGGTCTTGAATGGTCTATTGTAACATACATTGATCTTCATAAACGAGCCGATGGGTTCATTAATACTCCACCTGTTGCCAAAATTGTTTCTCCACAATATGCTATTGTAAACAGAACAATCCAGATTAACATACCTGTTTCGGATGCCAATGCTGGTGATGATGTACGTTGTCGATGGTCAAAATATACAGCTGGATATCGAAGACGAAAACGATCCAACAAAGAAGAACATATTAAGCATCTACCTAGTATTCATTTTTATAAAGAAGTAGCTAGTGATAGAGAACTAATTCATATTAGAAAAAAAAGAGACTGTGCCGGCAGCTGCAATGTTTCATGTGCATATGGTTGTGCATGCAGTTGTGCTGATTGTGTTTCCACAACATGTACTGGTTCGACATGTATTGAAACTGGAGGTTGTGCAACTCAAGTAACTACGACTACAACAGATACGACCAGTACGACTGATACAACAAGTACAACCGATACAACTACTACTGAAATTCAAGGAACACTTAGATCAACTTCGTCATATCCAAATCGTCAACCGCTAGACGAATGTGGTGATATTTGTCATCCAAACAGTGTACCTAACGATACTACTCTGTCCAACTGTACTATCACATTCACCGGTCTTAAAGCTGGAGTCTGGTATGCAGTTGCTATTCAGGTAGGTAGATTGTTATTCCTACAGCACTTAGTCCACAACTACGATCATGACATTCTATATTCTTATTGAACAACCATGACTAATCTTTGTATAGTTCGATGTTTGGTCAGATAACAACGATATTCTGCTTTTGTTGAGCCAGATTTACTACTTTGAAAACTGTGTGATATCGATCGTATTAGATACGTATATCATTTTTTTCTCCAGATAACTGATTCGTACTCTATCAGACACTAATCTCCAGAAAAAAATGAAGTTATAATTATTAAAATCAATGTATTAAATAATTTATGACATTGTCTAATATTCATGTTTAGTGTAGAATGATCATTTCTTTTACTACAGGTTGAAGATTTTATTGATGGAACAAGTACGACACCAATGAGTTCAGTACCAGTTCAATTTTTGATTTATGTTCAATCACCTTGTTCACAGCAACCTATAATTTTCCCTCTAAACCGCTGCCTAGAAGTACAAATAGGCGTTTCGATTAGTTTTAATCTATCTGCAATGAACTTATGTGATTCAACTGTGGATCTACTTGCTGATATTGTTGTTTCAAATGGAATTACCGGTATGACTCGTAGTAATCTCACCAATTCACCAACAAATTCATCGATCTCCTATGTCGAATTTACTTGGACGCCACAGACAAATCAAACTGGATTACAGCAATTATGTACAATTGCAAATACAATGTAAAATTTTCCTTAGTCAAGTTTTCATGAATTGTAATATCTTTGTTTTTGCTAATTAGTGGAAATTTAACATCTGACGAATATTGTGTGAATTTTACTGTGATAAATTCACCTAATACTTGTCCGACAACGACAACTTCCACGTCAACGACTACATCGATTACAATAACTTCCACATCCACAACTACGTCAGCAACAACTACTTCCGCATCGACTACTACCTCGGCTACAACAACTTCAACGTCAACTACTACCTCGAC